GAGATATTGTCCAATCGGATGTTTACTACTTTGTATACTTTGTTCCAAGGTACATTCTTCCGCTACCAGGGGTACAAAATGTTGAACGAAACATGCTAGACTTATCAGCAGTCATTCATATGTCTAATATGTATTATATATATATATGTATTATATATAATGAAGTACTCCATTAAGCAAACCCCGTGAAAGTCCGAGCGCTGAATATATATTTGAAGTTATTTGCACTGATGGATTCACATTGACGCCACTGAGCACCCAGAAAGAGACAGTGCTTCTCAAAGGAAATAAATTAGAAATAAAATATATGTTCCGTAATTTAATTACCATATGATCTTGGATATCTTTCCATGTTCAGGAAGACTCGACTTACTACAGACAGAATAATTAAACTGTTGTATTTTTTATTTTCTTATGCAATGAAATATCCAATGAGATATGGATGACATTTTACGATCGTGAAATACTGAAACAACTTATGTTTCCCGCGTGATTGCCCGAATTACTGGTGATAATGAAAACATATGACAAAAATGAAACGACAAATATATTCCATTTCACCTGTTCGCCAAGCATGGCAATTTGTTTGCAAACGTTTCATCACCAGCCGGGGTGACATCAGTGCTTGTGAAGTGACTGGTGATGAAACGTTTGCAAACACATTGCCATGCTCGGCGAACAGGCGAAATGGAATTCAGTTCCCCCGAGCTACGGGGACCGATTTTCAACATTTTGTCAACGACAAGTATATCTCAAAATATACTAACTACTAGTCGGATGTCAGCAATCAAGGATTTTTATAAAGCAACAACTAAAGACAATCCGGAAAAATAAGAGTCAATCAAATTATCAAATCCAACGGGATATTCAAACAAAAATCACGGAATTAAGACAGAAAATAAGAGTTGCTTGATGTGATTAATTATCAAAGTGCTTCTTTTAACCGAAAAGAGTTATGATAGGTGCGTTTCAAGGTTAATTACTGTCTATTGACAAACGTAACTGATGTAGCTCATAGGTAACTCTTTGTAGCCAATCAGTGCGCAACGTTGTGCTACCTGGGTAGTTGATATATACAGCTATAGCCGTGAAAAACAGACTCAGGCAGCAGGTGTACACTCAAAGTCACAGAAAAGTCAGTCTTCCCCAGTCAGCACAAACGGCCCATTGGAGTCTTATAAGCATCCTACTTAAGTCTCCTGCAAGTCCCGTGGGGTCCTATTGGAGTCTGTTTGCACCCAAAATGGGATTTCAATTGGACTCGTTAGAATTGGAGTTGTATCTTAGGCCACACTACGTCCTGAATGCGCTTAGCAAGCGCAGCAAAAGGTCATGCTAGCAGCCATGCCTTTGGCCCCTTTCAACATCACCCTACCCACCCACCTCGTTCATACCTAAAATGTCCTTTTCCTCTTCCATATCCCACGTTCTGAGTACCGATAGTGTTTGGTTCTAACAATCCTTTCAGTTTATGGGTCTCTTGAGCGGGAGGGATGTCGTTAGTCCTTGAAACTATCTCCGACATCGTTTAGTCACTCGTGAGCCCATCAGCAGTATAATCCTCTTCCTGGTCTAACCTTGAAAATCCTTGAAATACTGACCGTTGTCAATGAACCGTATCAGCCGCTTTGAACTCACCTCGTGCAAAAAACTTGAGTCCATCTGGTGTTGCCATAAGTCCTTCTGCTTGTTCTGTCCCGAATAAACGAATTCCTTATAGAGGACTGCAGTAGGTCTCAGACCGTTTTGGGATCCCCAAAAGTTCACGAACATGCATCCATTCATGCGTGCATGTATTAATCTTTACATATTAATAACACACACAACAATAATAATATTAATAATAGCATAGGGCAATATGATAGTAATAGTTTAATAGTATCATTGATTATTACTAGCTTTATGCCACAGATTTATAACCGTGCGATTCCGAGTAATCTCTTCCAGACTTGAGTTATTTATCCATGAATCAATCAAGATTATCTTTATTATCATTCAATCATGACTTATTTTCCTCGTAATAATTGTTGAATATACGTTTGAAAATAATTGTGTGTTTTACGTACTTGACAAGCTAGCACGTGTAAGTAAGCATATATATATATATACGCGTCACCATGTCAGGTGACACAGTTTTATCACTCAGTTACCCCAGTGAAGTCTACTTTCCTAACTCGAGTTTGAAAAACTCCAAAATACGGCGCTGTATTTCGCAATTTTCCAAAGCTGGATAGGGTTTGAGAAGCTCTAACTTTTTTAAAATTAATACTTGTTTTTGGACTACAAACGACTGGTTGCAGTTTTTTAAACTTTGGTTATAGTAGGTCGCTGATATATTCCAGAACCTTCCACAAATAATAGCTCACATTATATTTCATGCTATTATTTTGGTGGGAATAGAACCAAATTTGGGTAGACTGACATCGTATTACACAGATATAGATCTGAAAAGTTTTAAATGCATAACCTCTAACTGAAACTAGTATTTCAGCCACGACAGTAAAAAAATGAATATAGAAATCATCGGAGCAGGGACACAGAGTTAGCCGTGAGTAATTGTCTCGATACAGTTTGTTTAATTTCACTCAACAGATGGTAAATGTTAAAATTCAGGTTGACTTAAGAAGTTTCAAAAGAAGTTTCCCTGTAAGACCACCTTCCACATCGTTTGGCGATATGCGATAACTTTTAGTGGTACATTTAATTATGACCAACAAGGAAGAGAGATGACCAATCTTAAAAATATGAAACTACGTTCTCCCTATTTATTGTAATACCTAAGTATAATTGGTGTGTGGTTGGTCAATAAATATTTGAGTTTTGATGGTTTTGACAAATCTATCATGGTTTTGTAAGCATATTCCAATAGTTCATAAGTTCACAGGTTTAGTTGGCAACTAACTGAACCTGTCCTACTTCCACCAACGTCGGAATTGATGAACTGAGCTTACATCTGCCACTTAATGATCAAGTCCAAAGTATACGTACTTGCAGAAAGAAAGAGGAGCAAGAAGAAAAAGCTGTCATTGTGAAAATGTGGGTTGAACAACCGTCACATAATGCTCATATCGTAGCAAGTTGTACAATAATAATACACAGATTCCCATACTTTTGCTTCACAATGATATGATCTTTTTACTTTATTTTAAATCCTTGAATAATTATTAAGGCGGTCAGTTTTAAAAAGAAGTGAAGCTATTTAACGGACACCTGGTCGTTTCAGCTTTTCATATGGTCCCTAGAGCGCTACTTACCAGTGAATCTTTACCCTAAATGAGGTGAATCACCTGTGGTTATTGAAAGACGCATATTAGGGTATCTTGGAACCAGAGTGTACCGAATACATGGCATGGCTGACTGCTAAACAACGCCATCAATAAACTTGCTTGCTTTCATAACTTCGTCTTCAGATATTTCAGTTGTATGTTTATATATAGCTTATAAATAAACACGACTGGTTCACTGAGATTCAATAGAAAAGAATAACCATAGCCGTCAAGTTCCCTAGAGGCACATGGAGAAACGGGAGAAGGGATCCAAAGTCAATTTTGGAAATTTTCAAGGATCTTTATCACGTGCGATATAACAAGCCATGTCGTGTCATCATAACATGACTGAGGTCGTTGTTCACTGACAAAAGCAAAAGAACTCTTCTTGCTGCTCCCGTTCAAAGGGGATTTGAGTGGTGATTTACTGGGAAAACGTTTGCAAAAGGGCAATCACAAAAACGTATCTAGCCGCCAATCTACTTGCAAAGTTCACAAACCGGTCACAGCTCTTCCAAACCATTCTATTCTAATCCATTTACTTGCAAATGTTTGACAAGTTAATTTAAGACAAACGATGAGACAATTTTTTACAAAGAATCAGAGAACGTAAATAGGCCTGGTCAAGCATGGGATGAAAACACAATAACCAGTGCAATTTTGGCTCACCTCGTTGATAACAGGCACCAGATAGACAAAGATGCGTTCATAGTCATCTGCAAGTTGCCCAAGGATAAGGCGTAGTATGTTCGACAATGTTACCTGGCAAAGGCAAAAAACAGTAGCAATAAAAATTCTGAAGCTGCCATAATGCAAACAGAAGAAAATGGTTGCCGCAATCCAGTTGCTTTGGCTCCAACCCAACCTACGTGACGAACCATCATTTTCCCATTTTATCTCTCAGGGGAATCTACTTCAAACAAAGTGATCATTTTATCAGAGGAACTTTACACTAATCAGAGACCACAAATAATTGCCAAACAAAAGCAGGTAGTGGCTCTTAAGCTTTGTCCACGTGGAGTGATCATATATATGCGTAATCGGGACACCCTTGTCAAGCCATTATACTTGGACTCCTAGATTTTACTACTGGATGCACATATTTGTGATACACTTCGACCCTATAGACTGGACAACTACTTTCCACGGGCGAATTCAGTGCGCATTCTGAACGAGATGGTTTAATGACTCATTTGTCTTAGGTCCATATGCATGTTACGTTTTAACAGAACGAAACTATGGCGAAGCTGATATCAAGTGAATCTGGTTGTTAACAAAAGCTAGCTTGGAACTGACAAATAAAAATGATTTCGATTCTCATATTTAAGCTGCAGTATTAGGATTTTTGAAGCCAAAGAAAACAAAACCGTTGACAAAGTACTTTTTATTTCAGAATAAAACTTAGTTGCACGTGTCCAAAAATGATCATCCGGTCTTATCGTGTCCTATGGATCGTGTTAGCTGTGCTTCAATTAAAGTAAGTTTACCTTGTTCAAGTTGTAAACAGTTTATTTTCACCTGTTCTAGCGAATCCGTTCAACGTTTTAAAGGTAAGACCGATAGAGTATTCCGCTATAACAAACTATCTTTAGCACGTTGCTTGATGGGCTTTCTGTGCGACGAGAATCGATGCCTGGACCAATCAGCTGTTTGTGATGGCAATTTTGACTGCATGGATCAGTCAGATGAGGCTCACTGTGGTAAGTCTGTCTATCTCTCTGTCTACCTGTCTGTTTGTCTTTAACTATCGAGTCAATGTTATGCACATTGAACGGTACTTTGATTTTGCACTTTACAGCACCATGTCAGCTGAATGAAATTCGGTGCTCGAACGGAATGTGTATCCCAAGAACATCCCTATGTAATAATCGTGTGGATTGCCCTTTTGGAGAAGATGAACAACCTTCGTTCTGTCGTACGTTGAACCACGTTACCATCAATCAGATAATCTTGTTACAGTGGCTCACAAATGTCCGCGAGAATTTCTTTGTCAGGTAACACTAGACGTTTGTGTGGCCAAGCCCTGTTCCGGGCAGGCTCAATGCGGAGATTACAGTGATCAGGCTCCAGAGGTAAATCACAAACCGAGGTTTTCACCCGTTTGACATACCTGCCTACTCATAGATTTGCTCTTTTCTGGACCGGATGAAAAATAATGTCACTTGCCGAGAGGATCAGTTCGCATGTCACTCTGGTGGTCAATGCATTCATGAATTTTATCGATGTGACGGAGTTCGTGATTGTTTGGACGGATCAGATGAAACCGCAGCAGCCGGGTGTCTTCCAGAATCAGGTAGTCTCTTTGGGCAATGTGGTCAATTTGAAGCTTCCCCCCATGTTTTCGTGTTTGTGCAAACATCTTCTTCGATTGTAGAACAAGTTCCTTTAGTGAGTTGGCGTATTGGTCATACCATGTAAATCAGGTCAATCACTCCATCACTCACAGAACACTTCTGAAATGATTTTTGAATTTTCTTCTGAGTATATCTATTTTGGCTCAGTAAATGCGTACATAGGGGAAAATTTATCTATCAATGGCACCCTCATGAGGTTGAATATCAAAAGCAAGAATGATTGACAAATATTACTCACTGCTGAAAAGTCCTGGAAGGTATAAGCAACTGTTGTTGGTTTATTGTTGTCATTGCACAAATACTTTCGCTAATAAAACATCAAGTTACGATTTGTTCCAAAGTTGCGGGTGATGCATAAAGTGTATTGCTTTTGTCTATCTGTCTGGCTGTCTATCAATTTCAATTTAGTTCATCTAGGGTTGGAAAGGTATGATGGTCTGAACCTCAGACGAAGATGTGAGATCCTCAAAAAATTGATGCATAGATCTTAGAAAGGTCAAATAAAAGCAAATAACAAATAAACCTTTGGACTATTTTGGAATATTTAAAGTTTCTTTTAATTATTCGTTTTTTGAAAAGTAATTGGCGTGAAACATTTTTAAGCTAGCAATAAAAATACAATAAAGTATACCTTAATTGGACAATGAGAATATTTGTGGAAATTAATCAGATAGTTACAATTTATCTGAGACAGCCAAAAACATTCATGTTTGAAGCTAAAGTCTAAAATATCCAAATGGCGAACCGGTGCCTCGATTTTCACAACACGGACTTAATTTTTGCACTGAGAATGTGCCAGCGCTATTTCGCCCGGTTCCTGTGTTGGAATTCTATTGAGTTCTGCATCATTGATGCGGTTGCTGTGAGTTCATTAACGAGAACTGCTTTGCTCAAACAGGGTCATGGGAAAAATGCATTGTGTGAAGTGAACGTGAAGTGCACTGCTCAGAAGCATCTGCATGTACTTTGACAGCGTAACCTTTCAGTGCACCTTCAAGTCGTAGTGAACCTAGCGAACATTCATTGCGCTGATAGTCGGTCTGTTGGGGTCAGGTAGAATAGGAACGGCATGTTAGATGTGCAAGAATTAAGCAAATCAAATATGCTAAAATTGACCTGATTATAAAACAGTTCAATGAATTAAAGATATCAATCATTTGATAAGATGAGATTGTTTTCTCTATACTCCACTGTGACTCAATGAAATTATGCTGGGGATTGGCCAAAATTCATGGGACTCGTTTTTGTTCAGTGTTGTTCTAGCATGTTTTTGCTAGCACTGATAATAAACCAGTGGCAAATTGGAGAATGCCATAATTCCAACAGACTTGAAGATATACAAAACTTGACGGTCTGTTTCGTTCCTCAACAATGTCACAAGCAAGTACCCACGCCTTGAAACAAACAAGATTTATACATATTCTCCAAAACATAATATATGGTCTCTCTAAAGCATTACTTAATTTAGGATCTAATTCGAAGGACAGAATGCAGTGTCGATATAATAAAAACGAAAAGATTAGAAAACAGAAATTGTGCAGATCACTCGTTAGTAAATCTTGGTAATGAACGCTTATCAATCAGTGTCAAGAACTGGTAACCAAAAAGGTGGTACATCCTCCATTAAAAAGAAAAATTAACCGACCCTAAATTTGACATCCTACCACACTTTGGAAGAAAGGGTTTTCCGGTGAAGCTTTTTCATTATTTCCACGGGGTTTAATTCCATAGAAAAAAATCAATAACGGTAGCTTTCTGTCTCTAGAGAATTTGTACTTTGAAGAGCTTGTGTTTATGACCCATTAAATCGGCGAATAAGGAATTAAAAATATTTCTCCTATTGGTTTTTTATGTGCCTCCTCTAGATTTCTTGTGATCTCAACTAGATCTCACATGAAATACCAAACTATCTGATAAATTTTGTTTCTAACGTAGTGAGACAGTCAAAGTGTGCATGCTTATGTGTGCATCTGTAAGTTCACACATTTTGCAAAATCCTTAACTTTCCAGCTATCTCGCATTGAAAATTCTGAGCATTTATTGAGAATTCTCCGATTGAGCTAACTAGTTTAATTATTGCAGACAAGAAGAACTGAAAATGATTGTTTTTTGCTTTAGGGATGTAGGTTTCATTCTTCAGTATATAGTTTATTTTCCTCAATTCGGATGCGACGGACGTTAAGGTCATCAATCCGGTAACTCGGAGGTAGTGAGCTCAAATCCCACAACCGCCACCCATCTTTGCCATTTCTGAATCTCCCCCGGAAGCCTTTGATTGATGATGATGATTGATGAACGAGTACTACATACATGAAGGAAAAGTAAAAACATTAATAAATATGATTTTATTTATCAAAATACATGATAATTACAACAGAAAAATTCACCGGGATGACCGGTGAGTTTTATTTCAAATACGGGAATTGGTTTGGGTGTAGAAACGTTATTACTGAGCTTCACGGTTGTCTCCCAACGTCTGGTAGCTTAGAGCTGAGGCTTGCCGGCACCCCACCCGAATTTTCGTGGATCCACTTTCCGTTAGAACATCACAACTATTGGGAACTGTTGGTAAGCCCCAGATGGGACGAAATAATTGTCTTCTTATCAGCTATCACACAAATTTTCCCAACTCGATTCCTGATCTTCATTGCAAACTTTTTTCTCGTGCATATTGCTCAAGGTTTGTAATTAGTGGTTAAATATTGTTGTCCTGTGACACGATAAACTTGTTGCATTGAGACTACAGAACTGGCTTCATCAATGCATGCAATACACGATCTTTTTTGTACTATTTTTTATTATTCGCTTAAGGTGATGGAAAACCCAGAAAAATGTGATTTTCACTTCCGATGCGTCTCTCAGGGCATTGAGTAAGAGGTTTTTAATTTTATAC